GCTTGTGTCGAATTGAGTTCTAGAGGTTGCTTGGGGCAGTGTTATCAAAGCAGAACCATTGCCGAATTTAATAAATTTCATGTCGCAGCGCGTTAACGATTTTTAGAAAGGGAAGAAGACTGCATGATATTATCATAAACATATATTCTGAATTTTTTAGTCCTTAAAATAATATCTTCTTAATTTACTACAACCAAAGTTATGTAAATATTAATAATTTTCCTTTAAAACTAACCAAAATATAAAAAACAAGAAAATGCATGTTTCTTTTAATTGGCTAGATTTCAATGTCCGCAACTGTATATTGAAAATATAAACGTCATTTGACTTATGGCATGTGAATTTGTGGTTGCCACACCCAACTAATTGTATTTAGTTACCAATATTATTGAAGATTTAAGGAAGATTTAACTTAAATCTACTGCCTTTTGAGATTTAATTTTATATGGTAAATCTCAAAATATTTAACGTTAAATCTCGCCAGAGGGCTAAATCTTCATTAAAGCTCACAATGGAGACATAGTATAAGGCGACTATGAATAGCTTTAGTTGTGACTTAGAATAGTTTCGACTTAGTTGAGTACTAAATATGAATATGAATATGCGCCAATATCTTATGAACTACATCACATCAGCGGCGAGGCCCGTTTTCATTTCATTTCATTTATTTCAAAAAACATTAGTACAATAAGACTTACAGCCGCACTCAGAAACGTTCCTTAAATTAGCTCTAACGGGCACTTAACTAATGATCGTTAAATCTGTTAATTAATGTTTCCTCTCAGAGTCATTTTTTAATGATTCATTAGTTAATGAAAACTTTAAGGGCTTGTCAATTTCTTCCCTCTTTTTCTTTAGCAACACTCACTTCAAATTGACAAAAAATTAAATATTTGAAGTTAGATTATATTGTGCTTTCATACGAAATACGTATTTCATTGTTTTTCTATCAGCACCAAGGCAAGAAAGCATACATAATATAATAATTATATTATAATGGTAAGTATCGGTGTAGAAGTAAAGCAAGATCATAGTTTAGGCCTTCCTCCTATTAATTTGTACTCGCTGCATTCATTTTTAACCAGATCACCAGTGTTAAGTGTGTATAGATCGCGCTTCCTTATAAACTCCAATGATGCGAGGTTAGCGAAATTCTTAAAAATCCCTGCTGCTGTACGGACTCCATAGAAAAAACTTGGTTCTTTGTATTGTGTGATTGATTCCGAGTTTCTTTTGTAATAATTTAACAATGCATAGTTTACATATGAATGAATGTATGTGTTTTAGAATTAATATGGTTTATATTAAGTCCTGGACGTGTCTCGGCTTATTTATGACCACTTTTATGTCCATTGCTGCACTACTTAGTACCCAGCCTACAAAGAAAAGTCCGTGCTGAGAGATAGTATTGGGCAACGCTCTCCAGAATAGTGCAGGCAATCAATTATTAGCTAGCACAATTGTGATGAGAAGCGTTTTTGTCTATTTTGAGAGTGGCTCACACTCGAAGATGTGATCTGGTCAGTTAGGGCTACCAGAAGTGTGGTGGGTTTTGTACATCCCCAAAAAATTGTATGTAATAACTCTTCGAAACACATTTGAAAACTGCAATACAGTCGTTTTAGGAATGCGATTTTACAAGTCAAGCTACAATGCAATTGTTTCTTGGAAGCGACAAGTTAAAAGGTTCTTGCACAAACTGTAGTAAAGCTAAAGCTTGTCCATGTTACCACATTCAAGAACTGCAATACCTGCTCTTAATTCACCCAGGAAATTTCTATGTACGTATACAAATGTTTGTTTTAATTTAGGAAGAAGCAAAAGTAAATCGAAAGCGTGTATCAAATTTCACTGGCGATGAAAAGGCTATATTAGGGCAACTAATAAAGAAGCGGCCTATTATAGAATCGAAGCATACGGATGGAAAATCAATTTTGAGAAAGAAAGAAGCTTGGGATTTGCTTACGAATGAGTTCAATTCAAATTCGAATGTCTACAAGGTAAAATTATATGCGTTTTAAGGCGGGTTGTATGGAACGAATGGAACAGATTCGGATTCTAGATAAATTTCTAAGAAAAAATTCCATTAGAGCATAGCTCTGGATTTCGAGCCCGCCAAACTTGAAAAAGCTATCTTCAATTAATGCTACGTTAAGACATAAGTAAGTATTAAAAATATGACCTTCATAACACTCCCGCTAATATTAAGTGTAGACATTAACTTAGTATTAATTAAAGATAGGTTATTTTAAAATTTTGGGGGGCTCAAAATTTGGAGCTATAATGGAATTTTTTCTTTGGTATTTAATGTAGAATACGAATGTGCTAGGAACGATGTCGAAAACATACCCGACCTAATGCATTTATTCAATTTATTATACGCCTTAAGGTAGCGTCAAACAGATGC